ATTTTTATCTGCTGCTTCTATATCACTGTCATTTTATGGTATGTTTCTATTGGTTTACCTTTCTTCTGTTATGGGCCATCTTGGACGTTTTACATTGTTGCGTGCTGAACTTTGTTATACCTTTGAAGGATGTGTGATTTTGTTCTGCTCTACCTGCAGTTTAGTTTCCTGCACATTAGCTTGTTCTTTTGAGGCTTGCTTTAGGCTTTGTTGTATACTTTTTCCTTGGGCTAAAATTTAGCTGTACTAAGTCATGACCCTTTAGAGCACTTAACTCAATGCCCTGTGTGTTACAGATTTACCACACTCTTGCTGATTGTAAGTGAGCTATTCCTAGACCTGTGTGATGTCAGGTAATTGTTTAGCCTACTGCTTGTGTTTAGTGGTTGCCCCAGCTTTGGGAAGTTCTGCCCATTGTATGTGCAGATAAATACTTCCCAAACGTTCAAGGGGAGACCTCTTTTCAGATCTCTGGAGCTTTTTCCCTAACTTTGTCTCCCTCTTTTAGTTCTGTGCTCCACGAATTCTAGCTACCTAACTCTACTTGATCTCCGATCTCTGCCTCAATTTGACAAGACCTCTGGGCTGTGTTTGTTTGTGGCGTGGCCTGGAAACCACCTTAAAGCAGTAAGTTAGGGCAATGATAGGGCTCACCTCATTTGTTTCTCAAAGATCACAACCCTGCTGTACTTATTGTCAAATATCTGAAAACGGTTGTATTTTGTCAAGTTTTCTAGATGGCAGTTCCAGGAGTAGTTGATTATTCATTAGGAAAAGTAGGACTCCTGTCTCGTCTTTGAAAATGGTTGTATAATGCTCTGTAATATATACTGTAATTATGACTAGTAATACTTAGGTTTTTTTGTTTGTTTTCTACAGCCACAAAGTGAGTCCCAGTATTCAAATATTTTATATGTGTGCAGCATGTGCATGTATGATGGCTTTTGGCAAACTTTTTGTAAAGGGCCAGATAGTAAATAGTTTAGGCTTTGTGGGCCACTGTTGCGTATTCTTTTTATCTCTTTTTTACCAATTTAAAAAAGCAATTCTCAGTTCATGGGCCATGCAAAAACAAGCCATTTACTGATCCCTGCTTCAGTGTTACTATAAGATAGAGCTCTAAAAATAGACTTGGTCAAGGGGTATCCATTTAAAATTAGGATAGTGTCAAATTGCTCTCCAAAAAATTATGGCAATACTCTACTCTTAATAATATGTTGAGAATTTTAGTTTGCATTTGTAGAGGTCTTTTTAAATACTAATTTTATTTCTGTTTTTGACATTTATAGCATTATGTTCAACTCCATGTTTAAATATTCCTGCCTCGCCGTTTATGCAGAAACTTGGCTTTGGCACAGGGGTAAATGTCTATCTTATGAAAAGGTGAGTATAAGATTTCATATTAACCTTTTTACATGGAATTGTACTTCCACTGTAGTTGGAGACAAAAAGGAATGTGAAAATTCAAATATTTAGATTAGGGTGTGTTCCTGATCCTACCTGACTGCTATATTCCAGTCCTAAAACCTTTTATAACTTCACCAGAGCTCTGTCTGGTATACTTTCCTGCTAGTTTCCACCTGATGGATTATTAAAGGAGCAGTAATTTACCTTATAATTTTTCCTTGGCTTGTATGGGAAGGGAAAGGGGTTCCTGTGTGGGAATGATGAAGGATTCTCAATAAGAAAACCTCAAAGAGGACTCCAGTTGGGAGATGTCAGTGACTGTTAATCCCTTCTATCTGGAGAGTTGCCTTCTCAAGATACTCTTCTAAAAGAAGTAAAGTTTTTATTTGTTTGTCATCATTGTTAAGTAAGAAAGGTGAATATATGATTTTAATGTAGGAAAATTGTGTTAAAGGAAAAATGAAATAGAATTGATGCTAATAGCTATTAATATTGTCAACAAACACATTTTTTTTAAGTTGTTTCTTTTACTCATACTCTATACTTAGGTTCATGTTAATTAAGTGGAAAACAACCAAGTCAATATGTGTGCCTTATGAGTTCTTGGAATCAGCTGGCCTAGTCCAACACAGCATATTGTTAGGTTTATATTGTTTCTAAATAGAAATGCTTCCTTTACTAAAAATCTAATGAATTGAGAATAATATAGCAATTATGTGTAAGTGGGTATTCTTGAAGCATTTTTGCAGTTTAAACACCTCTTTGTGTGTTTGTATGTTATTTATGATCATTCTTTACTAGTGTCTAAAAACTTGTCTTATTTTGAAAGAAAAAAATTCTCATAGGTTCATGGTTAGCCTCATTTTTTTCCCCTTAAAAAATATTTTAAAATGTAAAGTGTGTTAACAAAATTATACTATATATAACAATCAAAATTTATATGGCTGATACTGAAAAATAGCTTGTTCCTGCCTGATCTTATCACTCCTCGAAACGTGGCCCTCAGCATGGGATTTTCCTATCTTGGTAACCTGGAGATTTCCTTTGGTTCTCTGGTGAATCGAATCCTGTGTTTTCTGTACCTCATGTCTTACTATTTCTTGGTTTACATCTTGTTTTGTTTGAGGACATTTGGTAGCTCCCCATGAAAAGGTGGACAGGAGATACATTTTTGAGAATTTGCATTTTTGAAAATGTTTTCATTTTACCCTCATACTTGAAGGGCCTTTTTAGCTTTTCTGGGTTAGAATTCTTGTTTGGAAATAATTTTCCTCCAGAATTTTGAGGACATCTTTCCATTGTCTGTTAGCTTGCAGTGTTTGCTGCTGAGAATTCTGAAGCCTTTGTGAGTGCTGATTCTTTTTATGTAACCTGTTCCTCCCACTGCCCTGGAAGGTTGTATGATCTATTTGTCACCAGTGTTCTGAAATTTCACAGCGACATGCACGGCTCTGGGCCTCTTGGATTCTGAAAATCCCTGTTCTTAAATTTTTGAGAAATTATTTTAAAAATTACTTCGTTGATAATTCTCACCCCTATTTTTCTGTTCATTATCTAGAACTCCTGTTATTTGGATGTTGAACTTACTGGACAGATCTGTGATGTACTTTTTTGGGGGGGGGTGGACTGGTTTTCCTATTTTCTCTGTCTCTTTGCTCTATTTCCTGGGAGATTTTTCCAACTTTATTTTCTGATACTTCTATTGAGTTTTTTTTTTCATTTTTGTCTATTTTATTTTTATTTTTATTATTTTTTTCGCTGAGCCATCCTGCCACCTGTTGGCAGCTCAGCGGCTGCTCAGCTCGGGCCGGGACTTGAACCGCTGCTGCTCAGAGCTCAACCTCTTGAGCGAGCTCTTAACCAACTGAGCCACTCGGCCGGCCCTTTATTTTATTCTTAATTATCTGGAAGTTTTCTTTTTTTAAACGATGTCTTAAGTCTTGCAGGTGCCAGAAATGTTCTAGATGGTGATAACACAGGTATATATACACATGTGAAAACTCATCAAGCATTTATTGAGTTGTTGGAAAAGTCATGACGCATTTTTGTAACAAAAAAAAACAGAAAAATACGTCATGATTTTTCTGACAACCCAATAGTATGCATATGGTCATGCATTACTGTGTTCCTGTATGGTTCACAGGTATTCAGCTACGCCAGTAAACCTCAAACTAAAGACCCTCTGCTTTAGTCCCTTCCAAAGCCAGTTCCAGTCTTGAGAAGCTGGGGGATAGGAAGTAGGCAACAGCATAGTGAGACAGAATGGGGGAGGGTGTC